CCAGGAGAAGCTGGTCCGCCAGGGCCACCGGGACCAGAAGGAAGGCCTGGTAATCCTGGGCGAGCCGGTGCGCCTGGCCCACAAGGAGAAAACGGGCCTGATGGTGAGCCTGGACGAAATGGTGAGGATGGGCCACCGGGAGAACCTGGCAGAGATGGTGCTCATGGATCTTGCGACCACTGCCCTGTCCCTCGAACAGCTCCAGGATATTGATTTTATACTCAATTGCATCATATTTGCACAGAATACCTCTTATGGCATGTTTCCTCAAACTTTTAGCTTACTTTCTTCATAATAGTTGTGCTCAATGAATAAATTTTGCAATTCTACAGACGCACCTCCTAACCGAATCGTATTCATAACCACAACGTAGTTGATCGATTTGCCTTTCGAGAGCTTCAATCTTCTCCGAAAACTGGTCCCACTCACGCTGTCGACTTCTTAAGTTCGTCTTCATGTTCGACACCGTTTCTCCTAGGAACTTATTCATTTATCATAGATTTTTGAAATGTTCTTCATTGTTGCTGCTAGTCATTTCGACTCAACATTGTGCTTATATTTGGACACGCAGCTTCCTCAATTTGTTCTAACTCACCATAGTAAGACAAAAATTTCGCAAGATTGCTGAGTGCATCATCATTAGTTAGGAAACCTATGGAAGGTACTGCCTGATTTGAAGGTTGAAAAGCAGTTGAGCCAATGACAGTGTGCCTTAATTACACTTTTGAACCTGTGATCTACACAAAGTCTCTCAAAAAATGTGATCACTACTAACTTCTTCATTTTTACGCCTTTGCCAAGCGTAAGCACTTACCGTGACTTTGCCGCAAAACCCAGAGGTATGATCTGGTTATTACAAAGGGGCCGCAGCAAATAACCCTCAACGTGTTTAGCTTAAACTATCTTCGGCCCTACGCATTCGTGCTTCGCACCAGCGCCAAGCCTCATGCATATACGCTAATTCAGCTGTGAGGGAAGAGATAAAAGATCTGCTTTAGAATGACCATTTGAAATGAAGCGCGACTTAAAAGATTTGGAAGTAAAAGTATTTAGTGATTAGGTAGTGATCACATTTTTTGGACGCCAAGCGTAAACGTCATTACCTTCTGGCCATGTTGGGCAGCTCAGTTGAAGTGCAGGACGTAGAGGAGGGCTTAGATGCAATCTGCAAATCAGAAAAGAAAATGAATGAACAAGCAACTTCTATGAAGATCCAGCAAGCACTTTGGGTGACTGTCCGAAAATTTCCTGCCAAAAGTTTTCTCTGTTTAACAAGGTTCTTAGTTCTCTTAAACTTTTTTATGTTTAAAAAAAGCTTGACCACCTGTTCAGCAACACCATCGAGAACCTCAATACGCTTTCGCAATGATGACATTTCGTCTTCTATAGCAAAGCGTTCGTTTTCCATGTTCACTTTCTCTCTCTCCAGTGCACGAATCTGTATAAACGCTCGAGCTATTCTTATAAAAATTTGCAAAGTAAACATCTATAACGCACCTTTTCGGTTTCCTGTTCGGTATCTATAGGCATTTCCTGATATTGCACTTCTTGTATAAGGACGCCACGCCCATCAACCTTCACCGATTGGCGCTCAATGACTGCGGATACGTTCTAGAACTAATAGATTTAGATGTTAAAAGTATCTCGACATAGATATGATGTTTTAATGAATTAAGACTAGTGCGATCGTTAGTATTATATTCTATACTTTGGTAATTATTTGGAAGAAGAGGTGAAAAGGCGAAAGGCCAAATTAGGAAACTTTGCCTACATTTTAGAAGGTTGAAAGCCAAGGTAAAACTACAACTGTGAAAATCACTCCTCTGCAGTCAAATTTAAGTAGTAGCAAGTACATATGTATGTGGAGATTATCGCACAGACGACAAAGGTAGTGCTAGCCATTCATTAAGTTCTACTTTTAAAAACTCTGATTGTCGTTACAATCTTGATATTAGTGACAATGTTAGTCAGATGTTGAAAAGATTTAGTGCATTTTCACTTCTACATCTTATTGATTTCTTCGCTTAGTTACGCTGAGATCGTTTGTAGGGCTGACGTTCTAGCAACATCGCCTTCTTCACAGCCTGTAATGGGCGAAAATGCATTTGCACGACTGGACGTCTTTCCAACCTCATAAGCGAAATTTTAGGATACTATTGGACCACAAGCGATACTGCTAGACCAAATACTCATCCTTTGATTATGCTGATGTATTTTGGAAACAAACGGATACGCGTACTTCACTTAGGCAGTCGAATAATGATGTTTCTAGTTCAAAAGAGCTAGTCCACATGATATGTCTTGCGTGAGTAAGGAGCATTCTTCTTTGCGATTCATTTTTGGGGATCTTTGCGTGAATTCGAAACGCCTTCAAACTTGCAAGCTGATAATTTAGTTTTCTGTGCTAGATTTTAATGCCACTTCAGAATTCTCTCTCACATTCTTTTGCATACTGTAGATGCTTAAAGAATAGATGAGCTTATTTCTACCCTTTAGATACTCCTTGATACGAACTAATAAATCTGATCGATTGGCCGTCGCAGTCAGTGCATGAAATGAGTTAGATGACCTTTGTATGCAATCTTTGCCCGTTCTCGCGGGAAGAACAACGCAGATTGACGCGGTGCAATTCGGTATTGCGGTTCCGAACTAGTATGTGCTTAAGGTTGCTCGGGAGTATCTTTAGGCCAATGTCCTCAATCAACGTCGAATTGGGGTGCTTATGCTTTAGAAATAAACGCAAGGAAGAAAGGTATTTTTCCTGCTGCAAGTGAATCTTCATGCGGCGTATTTATACTAAAATGTAGTAAGCGTTCCCTATAACTATGAGAAGCTGCTATTATGCGCGCAAATGCTGATGACACCTTCCTTTTTCTCGACACCACTTCAAGCTTCGAAGCCATGCAAACATATTATTAATAAGCGTTTTTTTTTTCTGACACGGATGGCGAACTGGAAGGAACAAAAGTGTTTCTTTTGTTGGATTTCGACTTGAAAACGAAGACTGCGTGAGCACAAAAGGCCATTTCATGCATGGACTGCGACGACCGTAATCGGCGAGTTGCTCGCCCCCTATACGTTGCGAGACATTACGTTTTACGTTCAGAGACATTTTGAAGACAGATATAAGCTCATCCACCGGTGGACATTAACAGGATACAAAAGCACATGGGAGAGACTTTTGCAGTGAGCAATAAAATCTAAGCGCAGAAAACGAAATCATCAGTTCGCAAAATTTTGAGGACATTTTGAATTCGCGTTAAGATTTCCTTCCATTCACGTGGGTATTCACACCTTACTTGGGTTAGCCTTTCCTTCCCAGCGAAAGCATTTTATTCGTCTCCATACGTGGTCAGTAAGCGTTCGGTTCTGTATGCTGAGTAACGCAATCGAAGGATAAGTACTTTCTGGCACTGTCACTTGTGCTCCAAGCATTTCTATTAAGACAGGATACTTAGTCCAGGTGGCGATTCAAGAAGCGATATATATTGGCATGCATTGCCCGAAATGTCAATTCTAAATCATTTTTCCTAACGTGCCAAACGTTTATTCGAAAGAAGTACGTTTTTTCTCTGTGATAGATGGCTTGGAGTACATATAAAAACGCTCAGATACCAAAGGCGGCAAGGAAAAAGTTAATTATTGCAACAACTTTCCTTTCAGGACTATACTTTATCGTGGTACGATAGAATTTCATCTTTAGAGGAATGTTGACACGTCACACATGCTGCTTTTTGTGAAGAAAAGCTTTTATAACTTTCCACAAGAAGTTTGGCAGATATAGACAACAGATTCTCAATCAGTGTTATAAGCTGGATTTACCAATTCTTATCGTTTTCAAATCGCCAGCTCGACAAAAAAAACCTACTCTTTTAGATTTTTACTTGTGAGGGAGAAAAAAGTTTGGGTGGGCAAATTCAATTCGTTTCGCCCAGCTCAAACTCTGTAGATGGC